TCCAGGGCTCGGTTATACTGTGTGTTAAATGAAGCGGGGAGAGCAGGCCCGTATGTCTTTCCCGGGCCTCATCTCACCCTTAGGATCAGTGAGCTGGTGTCGTTATCGAGGGCTTGCGATCCAATTCAGATTTGCAGGCCCAGGCTCATTATGGAGGAGTAACAATCCTGGCTAAAGGGGGGAGCCATTCCGACAGTTTTGCTCAGCGTTAAAGCAGGAGTGATCACATGACCTTGAGACCCAGGGCAATGGACACACGGGCCATGGCATGACTTTGTGATCATGAGCCGCAGGAGCAGCCACCCCCTGAGCCCTTTGGCCCCTCTAGACCCTCGTTAGGTCTCCTCGCTTATAGCCACCCTGAACGCGCTAATTGGGAACTGCATCAATTGATTTCCATTCCTGCTGTGCTGCGGATGGACCCACTAATGTGTGGCGTCAGCTCCTCACAGCGCTGGTTCGGGACACGCGCCTGCCTGTGTGTGTTTGTGCTGTGTGTGGTCTTTTTGCATATCTGGCTTGATAGCGATATTCCCCATGATATTCCCTGTTCCTTCCTGGACCCCGGGGCTGTGTTCTGCTTTGCTCTGTTTTGTCTGCCTTCTGCTCCTCTCTCTTCTGAGTGTTCTGGTCTGCTCCCGGTACCAGATGGGTACCGAGTGGCTTACCCTCGAGGCCAGTTGGCTTCTCTCTGCTCCGAAGGCACCATGGGAGGGATCTCGCACCCCTCTGCCTACCACGATTCTGGCTCTGTCTGGAGGTTTGGGAGGTTCTATGGTGGCTCCTCAGAACTCCTGGCAAGGAGGAACACTCTGTGCTTCTGGCTCACCACCCAGCACCAACCAAGCGGGTTCCTTGGGTTTTAATTCCTGCCTGATGAACGTGATCAGTTGCAGCATCAGATGTCGTGGGAAAATACAGACGCTCCTCTACTTGCAAACAAGATACATTCCCAACGGCCGTTCGCAACTTGAAATGTTCCTAAGTTGTTATTCAACATCATTTTAAGGGTATTCGCAAGCGCTAAGAACTATGATGCTGGGAGTACACACGCTACACTGCTGCGCGGCGGGAGTAGCGGGCAGAAGTCGTACTAGGCGGAATTGGCGCGCAGGAAAAAAGAATTGATGTTACGGACAGGAAACGGGAGCCCAATGAACACGATTTGGACTTAGTCCTCTTCGTTCGTATGCCTGAAAGTTCATAACTTGAAAGTTTGTAAGCAGAGGAGCGTCTGTAGTTGCCAGGGGCCTTTAGGGTCACGGTGTCACACGCTGCTCCTCTTTGATCGAGTCCTCCACTGTCATCCATCCCGATTCTGACCTGACTGGCTTGAAACTTGCCACCTGTTTGTGTGAACGACTGTCTATGGTTTATTATGCCCCCCCCCCCCCTCCCCCCATCTTGCCTGTCCACATTACTGTATGACCAGTCCTAGGGTCATTAGGCCAAGTTCCCCAGTTTTACCCCGACGTCGTGTTAGCGCTGTGCTCAGGGAAACAGGCCGGGTCTCCACACAAGGCCTGTTCTGCTGATGAAGCACTCCACGGGCATCAATAACGGGAGTTTGCAGAGAGAAGGCAATCTTAGGCAACATTAACTCCAATTAATTACCTTCATCGTTAGTATTCCACAGCCGCCGCTGTACGCACAGAAGGCGGATTGCTTTTCCGGACGGCGGCCCGCCTGCTCCTCAGTGTACTGTCCCACGCCAGCTTGGCTGCTGCCTACCGCTCACCCCCTATGGCTCTGGGGCTCCAACACTCCTGCCTTTGGGTAACACTTGGTGCTACTTGGGCGTTTGCTTCAGTGCCGTGGTGCGAGAGAAGCTGTTTCTTGGTGAAACTTGGTGAAACATTGACCTTCACGGTGTCAGCATGCCTGGTTATGTCTGTCTGTCCTTACCTGTTAGACATAGAGGTCACCTACGGGAGTTTAACTTGCACAAAAATGTTCTGAGGGCTAAACGAAAAATGGTTGGTTTAGAGAACTAACAAATCAGATTGTTGAGGATGTGGGTTCAAGCAACTAGAGGAAGCAGGACCAAAACATCTGATTGGTTGGTCCCGCCTTGTCGAATTACTTGTACCCACCTCCTCTAGAATCTGATTGGTTATCTCTCTAAACCAATTTCTGTTCTGCTCTCAGAACATTTTTGTGTAACTCCCATGAGATGAGATTGTCACCCAGCGTTGCCCCTGCATTTCTTGTCAGTGTTGTCATCTGGTAAAAGGGCTTGTGGGTGTGCAGCCAGGCAGGAAAGGGTGGCAGGAGCCGGTAATTTAGTCGCGACTGAAGTGCCCGTGAATGGCTTTCTGCAAATAAAAATTTGAATAGCTCTCTGCTCCCATGTTGGTTTAGTGTTTTGAAGGAGATGAATCCTCTTCTCCTGTTTCCTGTTGATAGATGACCACTCCCTGAGCAGGCCTGGCCAATGAAAAGATGCATTATGGGTGTCACCCCCGCATCATCCGCAGCTGCCCCATTGACCTCAGCTGGTTCCACATACCAGAGGTTACTGCGACTTTTTCTTGGTCACACACCGTGGGCATACCTGTGCTTCGCTGATTTGGCCAGTAAACCGCAGTGCAGGCCTGTGAGGAGAGCTCGGAGCTTAGCCGCGTTTCTCCTTTGCGGATCGCAGTGAGCCTTCCGGTGCCGTGCCTGCCCCCTAGTGGTAATGCTCTGTACTACCTCGTGTCCAGCACTTGTATCTGCATTTGTTTCCCTTAAACAAAGGGTTCCTCACAGTTGGAGAATGTAAGCCGTGTCTTTCTTCATAACCGCCCTCGTCTCCTCCGCTTCAGCCGGCTTCTCCGAGGTCCTTCGGCATACCGGGCTTTACCGCGGCTCCTGCTGCTCTGCGGATCAGCGTGGCCCTCCAGCTGCTGCCGGCTTCCTCGTTCCCTGTGGTGTGTTGTTGAGGTATTAGCTGGTGTGTACTGTGCTCCTTAAATAGCTCCTTTGGATGACTGTCAGGATTTCACAGCTAAGCGCGGTGTTGGTACCGATATTCTCTCACTCATCTCTTTCTCTGTATCTGGCCCACATTCTTACTCCTCCTCTTTTTGTTTTTTTTGTTAAAGCCCTGCTCCCACACGTTAGCACAGTCCTCAGCCGGCCATCAGGGTGACACCAGCAGTGTGGAAGCAGCTTGTTGCTCCCTGTTTTGTCGGTGTTGAGGCCGGAAGGCTACGCCGGGTGCTCCTGTGTCACACCTGCTGGTCCGCCAGCCATCTGGGCCTTGGCGGGCAGGGCTGGGGTCCGTCTGAGCGCTCGCTGACATCCGCTCAAAGAGGGGGGGCTGTGAGAGGAAGGTGGGGCAGGGCTGCTTTGGCGGTCCTGGGGTTGGCAGCCGAACCTCAGGGCGCCTCGTGGTTCGTCACACACTTGGTTTACCTTTAACTTTCGCTTAGATGGTCGGGCTGTGTGCTTGTTGATGGCCACACCGAGCTCCTTAATATGCTCATTGAAGTTCACCTCTGAAGGGAGTATGAGCCACAGCAGCTTATGCGACAGAAATGTCCGCTGGCTAAATGGTGACCATGCCGAGTAAAGGAAGCTGCCCTTGAACGCCCCCCCCCCCCCCCCCCTCAGGGCACATGCTTATTAAACATGCACACTTTGCATCAGCAGGAGATTCTGACAGATGAGACTCTGTTCCTGGGCCGCCGGTGCTCTGCGTGTGGCTGCTCGAGGTTTGGAGGAGGGGTGGCATCTATATAAATGCATCACAAGGGGCTGGCTAGTTCAGTGTGAGCTGCTGCCTTTCCTCCCTTCCACCCTGGCCCCCGTTAGCCCCGACTCCCGATTGGGAGCCCAGAAGCCTTTCAGGTCGCGTCCCCTGTCACGGCAGTGCTGGAAATGTCTGACGCCTTTCAGGACACCTGGGTGGTGACGCCGTCCTGCCTGCGCTCTGGCAGGTCAGGGACCTGGAGGATGGAGCCGGCAGGTGCCAATGGCCGCCCCTGTCCAACCTCGCCCTGTGCATGGCCGGCCTACGCCATCCCCCAGAGTGGCTGGCGGTGATGATGTGCCCTTCCTGTTTGTGTTTACTCCCCCCCCTCCCCCCGCCCGCACCGTCCCTCTGCAGTCTGACTGTCACACAATCAAACACGCAGTCTATATATAATCCAAGCCCCGCGGAAGATGACATTTACAGGAGCTGGAGCGCGAGGCGGCGTTTAGACACGGTCGCCCCCCCCCCC